GTATATGTGTTGAACTCGTTCTTAATTCGCCTTTACAATCATTATTTTTCCAACAATAACACCAGTCCATCTCGGCATTCACTGTCTGTTGCAGCCGGGTCGTGGAGTTCATCAATGCCGACCCGATATAGACGCACCCTTGGTTATATAACCATTGTATTTTTCGAAAAAACATTATTTTTCTATGTTGAATGCCATGAAAAAAAAAATACTATTGAGTTCAACCAAGTTGATTTGGTAATGATGCTGTGTTGCAAAAATTGCAATTGCCAAAAATTTAATTTCATGCCTCATTTTAAAGACTTTGGTGGCCTGTAAATGTGGCTCGCAAATTTTTATTTAGAAGTAAAAAAAAAAAAGGGAAAATTGTTTAAAAATATTTCACGCCCAGTGGGACTCGAACCCACAATCGCCTGATTAGAAGTCAGGCGCCTTATCCATTAGGCCATGGGCGCTTGTTTAATTTGTGCGCATATTTAAATATACAACTTGCTACTAAACCTCATGCAATGAATGTCGCCTGCATCTATATATATATATAATTGCTGGCTCTGAGCATTTAATGAAACCTATTAAATTATACCTATGTGGCAATATAAATTTTCCCTCCAAAAACCGTTATTTTTTATTCATTTAACATCTCATTTAATTATTAGATAATCAACACACTAATCACTTCAAAATTATAACTTTTGATTTACTTACAACTAACCATATAATGTGTTGACTATTTAACATGATTAGATGTTATTGTTGTGGTTACATTTAAATTAACTTCTTTTGAAAAATAAAAAACGTATTTGAAATTCCTAAATAAATAATAAATGGTTCACAAAATATATATATATATATATATATATATATATATATATATACCAAAATATACATTATATCCAATATTATAAACGCAGTTTTAAAAAAATAAACATTTCAGCTCTTTTTATTGTAAATTTAGACTACAAAAAGTGCAAGAAAAATTAATAATCATTATATTCATACATATAACTCACAATAATTTATTTATATATGTGCATTTGCACAGGTCGAATACTAGTAATAAAATAATGCTAATTTTGCTACAATTGTTTTATAGAATCTATTTCTTCAGATATTCATAACAAAATAGAAGATGGTAATTATTGGCAAACCTCAAAGTGGAATCCCCTGATAGTCTTGTAGAGAAAAATTAACGCTATAATTTTTCTAATATAGAATCTTTTCATTCAGATATTCATAAGAAAGTAGAAAATGGTAATTTGTGCTTCAATAATGGATTCCTACAGGATGCAAAATGACTGTCATCAATCTCCAAGTACTGAGATACATATTACAAAGTGCAGAACCAATTTAAAGACACTGTCCATATATTCCTAAAAGCTTAGCAATGATCACGAACGAATGGAACAAACATCTAAGTCGGAACAAGAATGTTGTCTTGATCGTCCTGATTACCTATTGCCAACAAACACAAAAGTAATGCCAATAGAACAGCAAAAAGACTGTAAATAATGCTACGTGCAGAGATGTGACAATAGACTTTCTCCAACCGTGGTTTATTCTTGGGAACTACTTCATCTCCTGTGGAAGAAACTGATTCTGATTGGCCATGGTGTTCTTCTTCAGAAAATAATCTGCCTCCACCATTCTCACGGTTCATCTCCCGACACAGATGACTTTGATCGTAAAATGCGCTTCTTGTCGTTGGGCTCCTGAACTTTTTGACTTGCTTTGTGGAGAAATTCGAATCAAAATCTTGTAAATCCTGAACTTGAAGTGAGTGAATGAGCTTTCTAGGGGTAGTGAAGGTCTTCACATCATCAACATTAATGTGAGAGTTCGAGTGCTGAAACGGACAGGCAAAAGGATGCATCATATTATGAAATATGGAGTGCAAAGAGAATTAATCATGGTTAACCAAAAAAAGTCATTTTGAGTGGATATATTTGTATACAAACACGAGTATTTCATTTTGATGGGAAGTCCATATATCCTGTGCATCATATGTTAAACAGATGCTTATTCGAGCCATTCATAGAATACTGTTCGAGTTTTCAAACTTTTGAATTAAAAATAACAGCACCATTGATTTGTTAGTTAAATCCTACCTGACTGGGATGTGTTTTCCCCATCTTAAAAATCGCTATGCTCCACAAATAGTGTAATTCAAGCATTTATTTAAACACAAAACAAAGTGAGTCCTGCAAAACCGTACCTCGGGACTTGGAGTTTCAGACCTCCCACGAACAAAACCCGAAAAGTTCCCAACATAATC